TTTATATATTTTATGTAATTACTTGTATAAATTACCCAATAAAGATATGAGCAAGGCCTCACCTTAATACCAAAAAATAATAATAATAATAATTACTAGAGCTGTATACAGTAACAAGTTTAATAATTAATTGCAAATCATTTTTTAATCGATTATACACAGTAGTAATGTGCACAGCACACCACTAAATAAAAATTTTGATTTAAGGGCATGTTTAAAAACGACAAAAAATAACAATGAATATGCAATACGTATATTAATATAAAAAAAAAAGTAAATTGAATAAAATTTAATTAAACCAAACTATTGTACAGTACATATATAGCTAATTGCTAATTTTAAACAGAATAAAAAATTGATATATTACACTAATTATACTTCACATTAATAGGAGCACTATTAACATTAATAGGAACATTATTAAGGGGGACATTATTAAGAGGAAGATTGATGGACATCTCTTTAGGGTAGGCGGTATTAGGGTAATTGGTATCAGGAGCAATATTAACACGGACAGTGTTGGCGGTAAGATCAGAAAGAGCATCATTAATTTCAAGAATTATTAGAGCATTATCAACAAATAGAGCTGCAAGCCTAAGCCTAAGACCACAACCGAACTTCATAGAGTTCATATGACCATTTCCGTAATATCTTCCGTCCATATTATTAACATAACGGTTGTAATTAGAGACCCACCAGAATTTCCAATTAACAGTTGGAGTTTCTTTTTCATTATATCGAGCAAATAATTCATTTAAACGATTGGTAAATGCTATTGAGCGTTCACAAGCATTTTTTTCAATCATATATTTAGCGATAAAGAATAAAGGAGTATATATAGAGAAGCTCACAACAAGACCGATTTCTCGCATCAATAGAAGAAAGATAATTGATAATAGAATAGCACCAACAGAAGCGATATAATATAATAATTTTTTTGTTTTATGGGTCATTAATTCAATATCTTGGACATATTGATTTATCTGTTCAAGTCTACCAGCAAACTCGTCGCGGGATAAGTAACCATGAAGGTCAAGACACCAATCCGCCTTGAATGAATGTCCAGGTTGACAATCAAAGCAACCATTAGATTCTTGTAAAAAAAGTGGAATAAATACACGTTTCATAATATAAGATAAATTATGTATTTAAGATGAAGTATTTTATGCGTAATATGTAGTCTAAAAAAGAGAGAGAGATGTAGGTAATGATATACGTATGTAGTTTAGAAAAGAGAAAAAGTAAGCAATATAAAGGTTTTTTTGAAATCAGATGTAAACAATCAAAATCTAGAAGCATTATTTAAAATGGAATTTAAGAATTAACACCGCCATCGTACCATATCAATGCCTTGTAAATATATTAATCATTGGTTTTATTTTTCGTACATATTTACATATTTACATATGTACGGAGATATTTACCAAATTTTTTGAAACGGTGCGAAATTGATTATGCATCTATTGCAACTATTGCATTTACAGCTTTTCCCTACGTTTCCTAATTTGAAATACAACCAATTAAAATTACAAGAAGCATGGTGGCCAAATTAGTAATTGCATTAATTATTACATTGTTACATTCATTTTTATTTATCTCAAAAAGTAAGAAAAATGTTGTGCATTGTAACTTTCATTTTTTTATTACCTTTTTTATCTTTGTGTATATTAAAATTTCCTTTATAGTTATGGGATTAAGGTTACCGTTACTTTTTATTTGTTTTCTAAATCGATGTTATGTAATGCCTGACGGAAAAAGCTTGTTCCTATGATGATCTGTCCGTGTAACAAACAAATTCTTTGTATTTTTTCTGCTTTCAATTCTTTTTTTTTTTTGGATATTACGTTAATACGTAGAATTTATTTTATTCGTGAAGATTGTTATTATTTATTTACTGTAATATCAACGTTTCGGTCCTTAAATAAAAAAGAAAAAGTTTCTTTTGTTCAGTTGATTACACGTTTAAAGCGTTTATTTATAACACTATCTTAGGGACAAATTGACTTGCTAGCTATCATCCACTTTTAATATTAAAGTGTTACAATAATTCCGAAATAGGAAATAGAGCTACTGTAATTGCTGTACTTTTACCCCTTAAATGCATCACTAGCATAATGGATAACATAATGGATTTGGCAATTCCGATGAATTTAATGGTATGTCACATGGATTTTTGTTTATTTGATTTACATATTATACGTATTGTGCTTTCTTGCAAAAATATGAATTTCTTTTTACCGTGAAAAATTTTTATGGTATAAAATTTATTATTATGAACTTTGTTTAGCACAAACAATTGATTCACTTAATGACCTTAATGACTTTAATGATCTTAATGACCTTAATGACCTTACCAAAAATTCATAAACATTTTCGGAAGCGAACAGTCGAAGTTTGCTTATTTCTGCAAGTTACACAAAATGTGCTTACATACAATAATGTACATCAATAAGGGCTAAAAAGTTCGAGACTAGGACCACTATGTAAATCAAGTTAAAAAATGTATGTAGTTATCCACCAAATAAAGATTTTCGTGCAACAATATGAAGATCATAATATTTAGCAATATGTTTATGGGTTAATTAAAACGCAAACTCTTAAACACAGTATTAAATACAGTATTTTAAATTGACTAATATATAAGATACGATTCAAAATTTCCATATTTCAAACCATATCTTCTCGATAATTTAAATATTAGTCTTTTTAAAATTTTATACTGTAGCTAATGAATTGTATATTTTAATATAAAAGAAGAGACTTTCTCGTTAAACCAAATACAGCACTGAAAAATTTTGACTATTATATGCCTATGATATGCATATAGGTTACACGATAATGAATTTTTCATACATGACCACATATTTTACAGTACTACAATAGTAAGATTTACCTAGTGCATGTGCTACAGTCTCTCTCGATTTCAAGAAAAGGAGAAAAAGATAATGTATTGCAATATGTTAAACAAAAAATGTATATTGTACGTGTAATTAATTATACCAGACATTGATAAGTGTCATTTCCTAATTATTAAATGACGCAAGTTACTGTATTTTTTTCAATTTAAAAATTATATTGCCAAATAAAAAAAATTATTATACGTAGCATGCTTAAATACTAGGAGCAAAATACTAAATATTATACATTGATCAAACCAATAATCAGCCTTATACATAAATATAATGTTATCAATATTTTAATTAGAAGATAAAATTTGTAATGGTGGATAACCAGCAGATTATTCTATTTAGAAGATAAATTTTTGTAATGGTGCATAACAATCAGCAAATTTGTGAAATTTGATTTTATTTATTGCAGTTTGCATAATTTTGTGAAATTTGGAGATCACAAAAAAAAAAACACTTGATTTTAGGATCTCAAAACTATTCCGATGAAAACTTATATCGAGATGATAGAGTAGTTTTATGTAATCAGAAATCACCAAAAATCGCCTAAAATCGAGTGATTTCTTTTTTCTTTTTTTTTATGATTTGCAATTTCACAAAATTATGCAATCCCCTAAATTTACAAGATTCTGTAATACTAAAATATTCTAAAAATGTGTAATCCCAAGAATACCCAAGAATACCAGGAGAATCCCTGTTTCTTCTTGGCGGTACACATTATTAGACTCCAATTATCTTTGTATTACGTAACAGATTCATAACATCAGATATGAATCATATAAATTAAGGAAATTTCATAAAGGTCAAATTCCACAAATCCGCCGAATTGAAAAGCGTGCAAATTATCTTGAGGATAATGAATTATTTTTTTCTTTGACAAAAAAATGCTACAATTAGTTTTTTTTTGACAATAATAGAATCTGTGCAAGGTCTTTAACTTGAATCAATATGAACATCATGATTCACACTGCTACTTTTTATTCAAATTTTATTAAAATTCAAACTTTTTATTACTATCCAATTTTTTATTACTGTAAACTGCCGTATAAAAGACCTGGTCACTTACAGTTCACCAATATTACAGTATTAAAACCTATATTAGACCTGGGCCTAGTACAAGATGGAGAGTTTATACATTAGAAGTAAAGTTAAAAAGCATACATATTTTTCATTTATAATTTGCAGTTAGCGTATATATATATTAAAAAAACTGCTCTTGGCAATTGCAAATTTGAGATTCACACCTAGGTCTAGCACATGGAGTCTTGTATACGGTAGTTTACGGTATTTAAATCTATAAGCTTGGTATTTTTGAACATTACATTTTGAATATTATGAGTTGCATTCTAAGTAGCACTGACTGGATATTCTTGAATATGATGAGACAAATTGGCAGGCTAATTTTTTATTTGGAACACGGTATTTCAACGAAAATGAATTATTAACAAAATATGTCAGTTATCGATTGTTATTATAAACATGATTGAAAGCACTTACGTGAATAAGGTGACCGGAAAACCGAAATTCATAATGATAAATAAGTTTATTATAATATAAATATGTGTTAAAATTTGACCTGGTTCGTTTTTTCAACGGTGAAAATTAAAAAATGAAATACACCAAATTAATAATTAATAATTAATAATTAATAAATTAATAATTGACAAATTCGAAATGATGAACAAAAAAAATATTGAATAAATATCACGAGTACCAGGCATGCAATTATCAAATTTGACTATACATCAGAAGCGTAGTGAAACGAAGTTGATGGCTAGATCCGAGTATGTTTGTAACAAAATTTTTGATGTTGTGATTAGGGATTCGATCCTATCTTTGACAGGCCATCCGGATTCAATTAAATCCGGATTGAATCCGTCTCAGATTAGATATAAAGCTAGCTTTGAGAACACCCTTATGTCCGTTATTTAAGTTCTTTGACAAATCCGAATAAAAATCTCTGATCTGGATATTTAAATTTATCTATATTTAAGGATCAATTCAGATGGTCGGATTACGGATCGATTCCCTAGTTGTGATCTTGTGATAGATCGATCCACCATTTTTAAATAAACTTCATATACTGTATACAGAATCACAAAGGTCCTTGGTTTTGCACGATATATGAAATTCTTCGGAATAGTTATAGTATATGATGTATTTTTGATGAAAGAATTAAAAAAAATTCGAAAATACTGTATGAAAAACTAATTTCGCTTGCTGCACATAAATGTCGTAATGTTTTTTTTATAATTAAGATGTCAACCTGTGCATACATATAAAGTTATGGCAAGGTGGCATTATCGAAATTTTGCCGAAAATTCTTTTATCAAAAATAAAATTTAATCACACATCTATAGCTAAGAATGGTATGAAATTAAAAATTACCAGAAACGGAGTACAATAATAATGAAACTTTACAAGGAATAGCGCAATATTGTAAATTTTACCTGTATATAGTTATACTACGAATAAAATAATATACATACACAAAATCTTTATTTTATCTATTATTGAATAAAACATATAGCTAATCAAGGATGTGAATACATATTAGGAATCTCACATGTTGTATATTGTATGATAATTTTTACACATAAAGCTTTAAAATTCCTAAAATCTAATATAATTCACAGCATTTACCATTAGGTATATTTTATTTAAGATAAACTATTTAAATTTATATTTATAGTGTTTTACATTTCTCATTTGTTATAAAATCTTTTACAAGCATTATTTAAAAAAAGAAACTATACTATTACTAAATTACGCATGTCTCTTATTTAATCTTATTAAAGTTTATTGTCTGGAGCGTAGCGGATGACATAAATTTTCGGGAACGTAGATCACGTGATCAACACCGATTAGGCCACGCAAAGTTGATTTTTCGTATTGCATTACATGGATTTCAAAATTAGGGACGGACGGACGGATTTTTTTTTTTTTTGTATTTTTTTTTAAATTCAATTTACTGCAAATAGAATAATGATCACATTTAAGGTTATATTTGCACAACAAGGAGTCAAAAAATTGGGCCGGCAGTCATATTTTTCCTGTCAGTCCTATCGGACAATTACGGGAAATTAAGGTCTTCATCGGGTGATGCCGGATGAAAATAGCGGGTAAAAATAGATGTCAAAAATCGAACAATTGGCATAAAAAAAAAAAAAAAAAATTTTTGAAAAATTGAAAAAA